TGCATTATGACCTAAAATACAATATTGCTTGAAATATTCAGTGCACATGCCATCTTCTCCGGGGCACAATATCAGATAGTCTTTCTGGATAAGCTCATAGGTCTGTGAAGATAGATGTTCGGGGCATGTATCACTCAGCTGCACGAATAGAGGAGTATCGCTGAGCTCTGCTGCAAGTCTTCTTCTTCGTTGAAGTAAATTGACGCTCTCATCTCAGATAACCCACATTCCGTCTGACGGAATCTCCTGAGAGTCCAGATCGTTGATTAGAACGTGCCATATACAAAGATCGGGCGAACGATGATCCGCCGCTCATTTCCGGATTCGGCAGATTGGCCGCCTCCAGGTACGACAGTCCAATCTATACAGCTCGTCCGGTTTGCCTTGCGGATATTACTCCCACCATGTCCTAATAGGAGGCATCTTCAGATCATACAGAGTCGCCCAGCAAGAGTCGCTGGGGACAGAGTCATCTCGTCATGCAGTTTGCTCTACCTCCTCGGAGGAATCCTCATACTTCTTCCCACACCCGCTCCTCCAGGCTTTCTTTACAACGCAAGAAACAGCTCAAGGCCGCTGCAATTTTAGGCTTTGCTATCCTCACCTTGTTCTTCCTTTTATCGCACTTCTTCCATTCGAGCACAGCGTCAATATCTGCCTCCGCGGGAGCTTCAAGCATTGTCATTGTTACGGTTCTAGATCGGGCCCGTTTCAGTGATGCCTACATCCAGAAGATCATCAAGAACAGAGAGCATTATGCTAGTCGACATGGTAGGTGAACTACGTGCAGTACATCAGCTCTACTTGAGTGACTGACTAAAACTTTCTAAAATGCAGGCTATACGAATTTCTTTGCAACTCTGTCTGATTACGAACCCGCGCTGGACAACGCCCCGCGGAGCTGGGCAATAGTCCCAGCAATGCGTCATGCAATGGCATCACACCCCCACTCAGCTTATTTCTTTCACCTCGATGCTCATGCCCTGATCATGAACCCTAGCAAATCATTAGGGTCTCATATTCTTGACAAGAATCGCCTTCAGTCTTTGATGCTTAAGGACGTTCCCGTTGTGCCGCCGGATAGCATCATCAAGACCTTCTCGCACCTGAAGCCAGAGGATGTCGATCTGATCATCAGCACGGATAACGAGGACTTGAACCCCGGAAGCTTTGTGCTTCGGCAGGGCGACTTTGCGCGATTCTTCCTTGATATGTGGTTTGATCCTCTGTATCGGAAGTACAACTTTCAGAAAGCGGAGGTGCACGCTTTGGTAGGTTTCCCTCCTCGTTTTCTTCAAAATGGCCTGTGATGATTTTCCTGACAATTGCCCCTCTTGTACTAGGATCATATCATGCAATGGCATCCGACTGTCCTCGCGAGAATGGCGCTTGTTCCTCAACGAAGCATTAATGCTTACAGCAAAGATTCCCCTGCTGCTTCTGCCGACGGCACTTACAAGGACGGAGATTTGATCATTCGGTTTTTCGGATGTGATTCCGATCCTAAGCGCAGCTGTGAGCAAGAGATAGAACCGTACTACAACCTTTGGGCGAAGAAGTTAAAGAGTGCATAAGCAGCTCCTCTTCTCCTGAATTGATCTTCCTGAGTTTTTTTTGCGCCTCGTTCTTCATATCTGTCTCTTATTATAGATCGGTGTTCATGGGTCATGGATGTAGCTATCATTTCAAACTTTGGATTTGGTTGACTAATGGGATTATATGATGAGACTTCTCTTTTTCATCGCTCGTTGTTTCTATAAACTATTAGGATAGGAGTAAGGCTTATAGGAGTTTGCGAGTTTGCAAGCTTGCAAGCGGCTAATGAAGAGAACATGTGCTCTCGTGAACAGCCGCAAGTGGAATTTGACGCGCATTGAAACTATTTTCGTAGCAAGCACTCTCCCTTTGTTGCGTAGCATCACAGCAACCCTTGCTAGTTGGCAAGTGTCTCACAGGATGCTTCGTGACCTGGCCATTCCTGTGGGAATGCTGGCTTTCCATACGCAGATTGGTCCAATCACCGAATATACTTAGAAGATTCCGGGAATTATGACAAACCTCTTGCGCTTGTACTTGTCACCGAACTCTTTGCGATAGCGGCGTTCCTTCTTGGCGGCCCAGCTAGCCATTATAGAACCTCCAATAGAGATGAAGAACAAGACACTCCAACTCATTCCGCTGACCAGATAGACGCCAATCCAGGCAATGATCTCGAACAAGTAATTGGGGCAAGTCACAAGGTTGAATCCGAAGCCGGATGGGATGCCCCTCTCGGTGGTACCAGGTCGACGCAGGTCGCGAAGCACCAGATGGGTATTCAAATTGGCCAGCTCGCCGAAGACGAAGAGGGCAAGACCGCTGTAGAGGAGGGCCGGGTTGGGTTTGTTGGTAGCAGCAGCCGCGTCTGGGCGGAAAACCCAGTACGCGATGTTGAAGCCGGCAAGAACCCAGTAGTGAGCGCTGTTCCTGAAGATGTGACGGACGGGCATCGTGGCATTGCTGAAACGGTGGACAAAGAGAGTCTCAAGCTCTCGCTTGACAAAGTGAATGGTTAAAAGCCCGCAGATCAGTAGCTGCAGGTCGGAAGGCTCGGGTAGAGGCTTGTCGAAGTTGTAGTAGATATATGGCCGGAGAGGGAACAAAAATAGAGGATGGACGAGAAGAGGCCCCAGGTACTCGATAATGAAGACTGTGCGCCATGCAATTTGGGGGCCTGAAAAGTGATGCAAAATACCACGTTAGTTCTCGTCGTGTTCGGAGAGTATAGCTGGATCAAATTTCAACACACCCAGATCCTTGACATGGACTACACTCTGATCCCTGAGTCCAATATCATTGACACTTGTGCCCTTCGAATTGGGGACAACTGTTCGGTCGCTTCCCTTGGTGATCCTCAAACGGTGGATGGAGAAGCCCGAAGCTTCCGCGAGCGAGCTGTAAATTTCTTGTGTAGAAGCATTGGGACCAATCTGAAGTTCCTTTGGAAGCTTCCTAATGGGTTTTCCTGTAAGCAATAGAATCAGCGTGCTGCAAATGCTTAGATTGAGGGAGAACGAAGACATTCAAATGAAGCGTACCCCGAGGTTGAACGACCAACGTGATTGTCGACGCCATTGGAATTGAAAGCGATCGCACTCCTTTCTGATCTCACGATAGCTCGTGCCCGTAAACTCGATCGAAAGTGAAGTCAACACACTCCGCAACAACAAGGGAGATGTGATGATACTCGAGGTACTACTGTCTGCAGTCTTGCTGATCCGCAAAATACTTCAGGCTAACAAACAACTAGTGTCTACGGTTTTGGCTCCATAACTGTTCAGGCACCTCGGCAACTCTCTAGTCACGTGATATCCGATGAATGAGGGACATGTTTCAGAAGTACCTTGTCGCACTTTCCCCATATGCACGTTACCCTCGAGACTGGGTTGGGAGTCGGAGGTACACGACGCTGCGTTGTACCACATTGAGAATACTTCGTGTCCTTAGACTTCCATCGAAAGAGAATGACTGTGGGTGGGGGCAGGTTGGTGGGGGTGCATGCATTCAATTAAGAGCAGTGAGAACAGAAAATTTGAGATAGTGTTACGATTAAATGCAGACTTCGTATACCTACCTTCTCAGAACAAGATAGGACACACTAATTGACTCAGTCAGCTCTCATAGCACCAAGGAGCGCCTCGGCCCTTGCTCGATGTCAGCCTGTCAGCCGGCCTTCTCCGTTGTCGAGTTTCAGGATATGAATTACCTATGTACTACCCGCTACGCGAACCACCATCTACGGTTGTCAGGCTGTACAGAGTACTGTGAATTGGACGACTCAGCCAGCCTCGTTCTTCCGGGACTATTTAGCGGCAATTTAGCTCGCATAAGGGTCCCACTGTCGTCGGCTGCGATCACCATTCCTTCTCAGCCAATCTTAAGTGACTTAAATGTATCTATCCGGGAGAAACTGTTGCCTGATCTGGAAATCACATGGGCGGCCTATCAGCTGCGTCACGACTCTTGAGCGGACGGGGGATCGGGGATCTGGAATCTGGAATTGACCTATCCTCGTGTCTCGTTCGATTATTGACTTATGAACTTATGACAATATGATTGCGCATTTGCCAACCAAGTTGTTGGTAGACTGGCAACCCCCCAAACATGTTCGCAGCTTTGTAAGAACTGCTGCAGCAGTGGTTGACGAAAATGGTCAACCCCTCGCAGGATCTTCATCATTGATGAACGAGCGCTATCATGAATTCAGAATAGATTGTACTTGATGTGGACTGCATATTCATCCTTTATAGGAGTATGTTTCGATGCTTTACTGATAATTCGTTCAGCTCCCCACACTGTTGCCATCAGCCATGTTCTGGCCTGTTTCTCAGCCATGGGCAGTGTTCCCAGCTGGCAGCCAAACTAAGTTGGTCTTCTTGTGCATGCGCGAATCAAATAGCCATATCGCGCACACTCTCCTGTGGGGCATTAGTAGCTTCGTTGGCGATGATGGTTATGGGGATGATTATTGCTAACTCCGTCAGCCATGAGCAAGGCTCCTTCAGCCGCACTTGTTTCTCACTGCTGCAGCCGCATGATAATTCGGTACTCCAATGTCCATGCACAATTATTCATACTTAATGGGACACTGGTCCTAAGAGGCCCCATTTCACTTTTCGATTTCTTTCCAGTCCACTGGCTCATCGATGGTTCCTAATCGCTAAGCAAAGCTATTGCCTTTGTATCCTTGTTTGGCTGTATTGATTTGTATATCTAGTGTGATTTTGCTTTGCATGCCACATATATCCTCGAATCTGATATTTAGCAAATTTGTGAGTACAAACCGCATTATATGAATACCCCCACGATGGTGTCCCACAAGCAAAGCGCATAGTGGATGTATCGGATGCTGCAGGCCTCTTATATGCCTTTTCTTCTCGCAAACATGCCCAGTGCTGATGTGACTTAGAAGTGCATTTGTATTTCAACCTAGCCACTTTTTGTTTTGCACACTATCCGCCATGTCTGAGAAGCAAACCGGTTCAGCCAATGGTGGACTTGGAAAGGCCCTGGCTCAGCTCGAGCAGGTTGTCTCGGCGTCGCTGCGGCCTATGCCTAGCCAAACAGGCGATGGCACCTATGTCACGGAGCAAGTGAAGACAGGCATTCTCAAAGATCTTCCCCACGTTGACCTGGGCGATGTCAAGACTCTCGTGGATGTCTCGAAGAGTGCCTTGACTGGTGAGGCTTTGGACGACAGGAAGTATATCATGGAGCGAGTTGTCCAGGTCAGTTTATGCGCGTATGTTAATGGCGAATTGGATTATTGATTCTGACCACATCCTAGCTCGCCGCTGGCTTACCCTCAACGTCCCAGATTGGTAAAGAATTGACGAATACCTTTTTGACCACTCTCTGGAATGACTTGGAGCACCCACCAATCTCGTATGTGGATTTCATGGAGCAATTTTCTATGGCCTACTTCTGACCGCACGGGTAGCTATCTTGGCCGTGACGCAATGTACCGAAGAGCGGATGGCTCTGGCAATGTAGGGCTCAATGACATCTGATGTTGGAATGCTTTGCTGACCAGGGGAACAGAACGTGCTTTGGCCACATATTGGTGCGGCTGGGACTCCGTATGCAAGATCTGTACGGCCCAAAACCGCGCAGTCTCCGAACCTCCCAGATCCTGAAACTCTTTTTGATTGTCTTTTGGCACGCAAAGAGTACAAAGAACATCCGAATAAGATATCTAGTGTATTGTTCTACATTGCATCCATCATTATCCATGGTAAGTCTTGGCAAATGAAGGGACAATAATTGGGACTGACAAATATACACAGATTTATTCCAGACGGATCGTAAAGATCCAACAATCAGCTTGACTTCTTCATACTTGGATCTATCACCTTTGTATGGCAACAATCAAGAAGAACAGGACCTCGTCAGGACGTTCAAGGATGGTAAGCTCAAGCCAGACTGTTTCTCGACAAAACGCATTCTGGGCTTCCCTCCGGGTGTTGGCGTAGTTTTGATGATGTTCAATCGTTTCCATAACTACGTGGTTGAGAAGCTTGCAATGATCAACGAAGGAGGCCGGTTTACAAAGCCGCAAGAGTCCGACACCGCAGCATATGCGAAGTATGACAACGATCTTTTTCAAACAGGTCGACTTGTGACATGCGGTCTCTACGTCAACATCATTCTGAAGGATTATGTTCGCACCATTTTGAATATTAACAGAACAGACAGCATCTGGAGCTTGGACCCCCGTTCTGAAATGAAGGACGGATTACTTGGCAGCGCAGCTGCTCAAGCGACTGGTAATCAAGTTGCTGCTGAGTTCAACCTTGTGTACCGCTGGCATGCTTGCATCTCTCAGCGAGATCAGAGATGGACTGAGAATATGTATCAAGAATTGTTCCCTGGGCAGGATCCCAGCAAGATCTCCTTACAGGACTTCTTGCGAGGACTTGGTCGGTGGGAGGCTAAGCTACCAGAAGAGCCTCAGGAGCGTCCGTTTGCTGGACTGCAGCGCAAGGCAGATGGGTCGTATGACGACGATGATTTAGTCAAGATTTTCGAGGAAAGCGTCGAGGACTGCGCGGGTGCTTTCGGTGCCTTGCATGTTCCTACCGTCTTCAGGAGCATCGAGGCGCTTGGGATTCAACAAGCCCGCTCCTGGAATCTGGCTACCTTGAACGAATTCAGGAATTACTTCAATTTGGCTCCCTACAAGACTTTTGAAGAAATTAACCCGGATCCACACGTCGCAGACCAGCTCAAGCGACTCTACGACCATCCTGATCGGGTTGAGATATACCCTGGTATCATTGTGGAAGACGCGAAAGAGGCAATGGTCCCTGGCAGTGGACTATGCACCAACTTTACGATCTCTAGAGCCATTCTCTCGGACGCCGTCGCTTTGGTTCGTGGTGACCGCTTTCACACCGTCGACTTTACGCCGAAACATCTCACAAACTGGGCGTACAGTGAGATTCAGCCTCAGGATTCGGTTGACCAGACCCATGTCTTCTACAAACTCGTCTTGCGAGCTTTTCCGAACCACTTCAGGGGCGATTCGATCTATGCTCACTTCCCCCTTGTCATACCATCCGAGAATAAGAAGATCCTGACCAAACTTGGAACCGCCGATAAGTATAGCTGGGATCGCCCCAATTATACGCCCCCGCCTCAGTTCATCAACTCCCATTCGGCCTGCATGTCCATACTGTCGGACCAGGAGACATTCAAGGTTACTTGGGGTAGTAAGATTGAGTTTCTCATGCGCCACAATGATCAGCCTTACGGCAGAGATTTCATGCTATCCGGTGACAGGACCCCGAACGCCATGTCGCGTCAAATGATGGGCAAGGCCCTGTACCGTGATAAATGGGAAACTGAAGTAAAGAAGTTCTATGAGGATATTACTTTGAAGCTGCTGCACAGGTACTCTTACAAGCTTGCTGGTGTCAACCAAGTTGATATCGTCCGCGATATTGCAAACCTGGCGCAGGTTCACTTCTGTGCTTCCGTATTTTCGCTACCATTGAAAACCGAATCCAATCCCCGAGGCATCTTCACTGAGTCGGAGTTGTACCAAATCATGGCGGTCGTGTTCACTTCCATCTTTTACGATGCAGATATTGGGAAGTCTTTCGAGCTTAACCAAGGGGCTCGCGGCGTGACGCAACAGCTTGGCCAGCTGACGCTGGCTAACGTTGAGCTCATCGAGAAGACTGGTTTCATTGCCAATCTTGTCAATAGTCTGCATCGGCACGATGTCCTTAGCGAGTATGGTGTCCATATGATTCAGCGCCTGCTTGACAGCGGGAAGCCAGCGGCCGAAATCGTTTGGACACACGTTCTGCCAACTGCTGGAGGAATGGTAGCCAACCAAGCACAGCTTTTCTCCCAGTCTCTTGACTATTACCTCTCAGAAGAAGGCTCCGTTCACTTGCCCGAGATCAATCGGCTGGCCAAGGAAGATACCCCTGAAGCCGACGATCTACTGTTGCGATAGTGAGTATCACCAAATTCTATGTCATCCTTCTTTACTAACACTTGATAGCTTCATGGAAGGTGCCCGGATGCGGTCGTCGGTTGCCTTGCCGCGAGTGGTTGCACAACCCACAGTTGTCGAGGACAACGGCCAGAAGATCACACTAAAACAAGGCCAGCATATTCTTTGTAACTTGGTGAGTAATCCATGAATCAAAATTCGCAATTGGCGATCCTCCTGCTCACGATATATTCACTAGGTTTCGGCTTCCATGGACCCTGTCAGTTTTCCAGAGCCCGACAAGGTTAAACTCGACCGCGACATGAACCTATACGCGCATTTCGGTTTTGGGCCCCACCAGTGTCTGGGACTTGGTCTTTGTAAAACCGCGCTTACCACCATGCTAAAGGTCATTGGACGGCTGGATAATCTTCGCCGGGCACCTGGTGGACAAGGCCACCTGAAGAAGCTTTCTGGTCCTGGTGGGATTGCCATGTACATGACTGCTGACCAGACTAGCTTCTTCCCCTTCCCAACGACGATGAAGATTCAGTGGGATGGTGATTTGCCGGAATTAAAGGACTGATCGAGACGGTGCATCAGAATTGGATCCCATATTGACTGACGCAGCTCGCTGGGGGCGCTTGTTATATTGGACATAAAATTGGCGTTCTCTGTCTCTCTGTGTATACATATAAGTCAAATAGCAATTTACGAGGCATCGATCTGCTTATCTGGGCGGACGGACGTCGCATCTGAAGCAGACACCAACTACTGCTTCCTGACGGTGAAGGTCTAGGGAGAAAGGTAGCTGGGAATGACAGATGCCATGTGCTGGCTTCCTGGGGAAAGGAAAATTGGGATCAAGCATCAGAATCGAGATGGACTTAGCCGGAAATACCCTAGCCCCTACTATACTTGCCTGACATCATACAGGAGGAGATAACCTTCAATCTTCTCAGGTGAAACCAGCGAGAGCCTAATGAATAATTGAGGTACGAAATTATACAATGTCTTGATGCCTGCCGTCATGGATAATGGGTGTTTTTGAAGTTTTTCTAGGGTGTAGTCGGCATCAGTGAATGAATTGTTCGGTGGGGAAGAACACCCGCTCCGGGCTGTTCTCTGCTTTGCTTGCAACGGAAGAGCACCAGAGCTCCATCATCTGGATAATTTCACGAACCTTCCAAACTTCACCACACCCTTCATCTTGACCTTTTGCACCACCTCCTATCATCCTGTCTCTGCTTTGGAGTGTCTCTCGATACTCATCTCATTAAGTCTTGACTGATTAGGTTGCTAGAGTTTCAGAGAAACGACCTGCACTTTGTTTTTCTCTGAACTTTTAAACGCCTATCGATACTTCCAAAGCTGCAACAGAATCCGTCATCTCATCTTCACCTTCCCCTCGCCCATCCTGACCTTTTTAGTTGGAGGGAAAAGCTTCTTTTACTTCATATTCATTCCCTCCATCTCCAACATTAATTGCTTCTATCCTAGTCCTACTCCGTTCGTTAGGTTTTTGCTGAGGAAGGAGAAGACCCGAAACGTCATAAGGCTCCTCCGCGACCCTCTGCGCGACTCAGGTCTTCACGACCTCCCCACCTTCACCAGGAGGAGCAAACAGGGGTGAAGCGAACCTCCTCATGAGCTGCTGTCTAATTTAAAACATCATCATGGGGAGAATTAAGAAGGTGGCGAGCCAAAAGCATGAGGCGACAATTGTAAGTTCATTCACCCCGCTCGATCTCCAGCTCTGGAATGCAGGCTGACTGAAAATTTTCTTTCCTGTTCCAGTCACCATACTTGACAGAATTCGTAGCTCGTGCCACGACTATCTCCGTACCAGAGCTTCCATTACACCTCAATACCTTTTCTCGCTTATGGCCGTTTCCCAGAGGTGATCTATATCACTGGATCAATGTATTGAACCGCTTTGATGATATCCTCGCGTCCGTCACCGAGAAGTATGCTCTCAACGCCGGCCCGCAGACCAAGCCCTTTGGCAGATATGTTTTGATCGACGCATACACAAGTTCCGACGTTCAATCCAATTCTGAGGATGCAGATTCCAAACTGAATGCTTTGGGATATGGGCCGGAGGGCGATAGGGAACTTGTGGAATCGATTCTTGATTTCTCCAGGCTTCTGTTAGAGAAATGCGGCAATCGCAGCTTGTATAACAGCAGCGAGCGCTTAGGGGAGCTTCTGAACACCACTTCACTCTCTCTTCTTCAGTCTACCCTCCGGTTGGCTCTTTGCCTGGCGCAAAGATACCATTCTCGTCAGCGTGGCGGTTCCCATCTTCAGCAGAGCTTGTTGGCAGCTCACTATAACATCGATCTAGAGAAGCTGCAGAAGCTTGCCGCGCCTTTTCCCCGTCCTTACACGTCCGGCAAGGCGTCTCTTCCTCTTACTGCCGGGACCAAAGGCAAGGAGAAAGGAGCTCATACCAGACATAATGCGAATGATTTGGTCTCGATTGCTCGCGAATCTGACATCTGGGATGAGTGGGGTCATGTACGCTTGATCTACTATCCTTCGGCCCCGGTTGAACCTGCTAAGGCGCCATCGGAGAATGCGCAAGTTGGACTGCCGTCACAACCTCCCACTACACCGACGCCTCTTCGGAGAAGCCACACCCATCCTACTCCGCAGCTAAGTCGTACGACAGTTGTGGAAGATTCACCGGGCTCCGTCACCAATTCTCCCTCCGGAAAACATGAGGAAGCGTTGCGCGGAGGCAAAGTTCTTGACATCCCTTACTCCAAGGTTTCGGCATCGAAAGCTGAAGATCTTCTCGCTGCGCATTTGGATGAGTTGCCGGATGAGTCGAAGTACGAACTACTTCACAGAGTCCGTACCGCCCAGGGTGTGGCCACATCCAATTCCACTCGAGAGCAGATTCTTGCTATCCGAATCCTTGCAGTTACCAACTTAGCTTATGTCTATCCTGAGACACTGTTCCAACAGAGGATTCTGCAGTACGATAACGAACAACCGAAACGCCTTCAGCTTGCATACCAGTTGGGCGAGCTAGTTCATCTCGGCGCAAGCGGCGATCTTCCGGTTTCCCGTACACTGCAGACCTTGGCTCTAAACGCGCTTGATGCATTAGCAAAGCACAAGTCACGAGCTATTGACGTTTGTGCCGCACTGAGCGTCAATGTCAATCATGGAGTCCTCATGTTCCTGACTCGAAAGGCTGTTAACGAGCTAGCTTCGGACGAAAGTGACAAGGATGAAGCTTATCAGGATGAATGGCGGGACGCTCTACTTGCTCTTCTGCGTACGCTTCCTGGTTCAAGCACTCGAACTCCGGAAACTCTTGTTTCAGCTGGGTTGATACCGATGTTTGTTGATATTCTGAATCTTCGCACTGAGAAGGCTCGCCGCGTTTATTCACGTGTCATGGAATTTCTCGATACCTTTGTTCATGCGGTCCGTGATGCTCTCGCGACGCTCACGAATGCGAAGGGCTTTGAGGCTATCTCAGACCTTATTGACTACGAGACCAAGACATCTTTTGAGAATGTCTCTAGGGGTGCTGGACTTCCCCCGCAGCACAAAACTCCGTCGATCGATTATCAGATTCCATATTTCCAACAACAAACCCTTCGATGGATGTTCCGCTTTGTCAACCACATCATGCAACACAATGGCGGTGGATTTGATCGAGTCCTACGGAATTTGATTGACTCGCCTCAATTGCTGACTTCTCTCCGGCTCGTATTCGAGAATGCTCGGGTATTCGGGTCACATGTTTGGAGCAACGCCGTTAACATTCTCAGTAGCTTCATTCACAATGAACCAACTAGTTATGCGGTTATTGCTGAAGCAGGTTTGAGCAAGAGTTTTCTGGAAGCTGTGACTTCATCTGAGCTCAAGACTCCAGAGAAACCCCCCGTTGTCGAGACGGAGGGTGCTGCACCTGAGGCTCAGCCTGGTGACCAACCAACTCCTATACCATCTGATGCCGTGAGTGGTCCATCGCCACATGGAGACCAGAAAGACCGAGAGTACAAGATGGCTAGATCGAAGGATGCGCGTCTTGCTCCCGGAATCATGCCTGCTGCAGAAGCACTGTCCTGCATACCCTCTGCTTTTGGAGCCATATGTCTCAATTCATCTGGTCTTGAGCTCTTTCAGTCTTCGAACGCGTTGGAAAGCTTTTTTGAGATCTTCGAAAATCCCCAGCACGTAAAGTGTCTAAAGGATGACCACAATCTCGTCCGGTCATTGGGCACCACCTTCGACGAGCTGGTGAGGCATCATCCAGCACTGAAATCATCGATCATGACCGCCATCATTGTAATGGTAGCACGGGTCGGTCTACTATGCAAGAGCAAGGCTTGGGCACATGGCATGGGAACGAAGATGTGGGTGGAAGGTCCTCAAGGAAAGCCTCAGATTTCTGGCGATTACGATGTGCTGGCCCTCGAGATCGGTGCCGCAATGGACGCATCCCTGGATGATTTTCGAAACCTTGGAGTGCGGGAATTGACTTCCAATACTCTTCCTAACGGTGGAAAACTCAACCTAGGGGATCTGACTCAACTTCTTCCATCTTCGCCAGAGTATGCAGAACCTCAGGACGTGGACGCGGCTGGCCTCACAGTTACAGATTACGTCTACCCTGTTGTACGATTCCTTGGCGCTTTCTTTGAAAACCAAGCCAATTGCTCATCCTTCATCGAATCGGGGGCTGTTGAATTCGTTTTGGATTTCGCGACTCTGCAGAGTCTTCCATTCGACTTTCACAATTCAGATGCAAATCAGGAGCTTACGGTACTGGTACATATGTTAGCAGAAACCAAACCGCACCTGGTCTTGCCGTCCCTTGTCACGCGAGCGGAGACTGCTGTCAACAGTCTTTCTGGCTTCTGGTCTGAGCCCAAGGATTCGGGCTTCTTTACTCCTCTGATTAAACCAGCCACCGAGAAGTTATCCGAGGAGAAAGGCAAGGAGATCTTGGACATCGCGAAGACCAATGGAACCTATTTTGCAAAGCATATGGCTGCCACTCTTGTCCTTACCGATTTGCTTCGCGAAATTTTTTCCATGCCTTTGTATCAGACCCGCCCTAGCCAGCACACTTCTGCTTTTGCTCAAGTCAACCTAGCTGATCGATACTGCGTGCTCGTCTCGGCTCTGGGTAGTTTGCATGCTGCTTGCGTGTGGGAGGAGATTCTTCTCGAAAAGAATATTCCTGCCACTTGGGATCAGGCTACAAAAGCGCAAGCAGGAGCTAGCTCGGACAAACCCAATGAAGGGACTGAACTACCTACTGCGGAAGGTGGCACTGCCGAACCTGCATCAGAAGGCTCAGCAAACCGTGGACCTGAACTGCAAGGCGCTGCTCAGCCGTCCAACGATAGCACCAAGGTACCAGAGGGTGGTGCAGCTTTCAAGAATGTGCAGGCACTCCGCTATCTCCTTAGTTCCCTGCCTTCTTCGATCACCGGTTTCTTCCACAACTTAGGACTCGGCCTGATAGGAAAGCGGCGGGTAGACTCATACCAGAGACAGAATGCGACCATGGTAGCGGACGCCATTGCTGGGGCCGTACTCAATCAATTACAGTTT